CACCCAATTCAGGCAGGTCTCTCTCGTGAGTTCTTCAATTCGCAACGACTGGACACAGAACAGGCACAGGTTAACAGGCAAAAGTGACGCTAACGCCCCGGTTACTGGAGAGAGTTCCGGGGGTCACGCCCCGCTGCCCCGGTCTGTGACCAGGGCCTGTCGCAAGGACTTCTGGCCTAAAACGCAATTTTAAAATTGTTGGAATAGTTGGGCTAAAATAAGTCAGGTAGTTTATTTGTATTGAGGTGGAGAGGTGACGGGTTGTACAACGTTTTTTTTTGAAGAGATTTACCTAACAAATAAAAAAGGCACAAGACCGTGACTGGAACGGCACATCATTGTTAGGTACATTGTGTGGTTAACCTGCCAAGGATATTTATATCCAGCTGTAGCGGGAGGTTGGCCCTCAAGGAAGGTTCCTTGATGTTGGTGAGGGGCTCTTGATTTAGGGAAATTGGATCTTGTGCTCCAGTTCCCGTAATCTAAGCTGGAGTGCCTTCCACAATCACCCCCCCCCCAGGCGCTGTATAATACCTCCGGGTTTAGTGCTCCCCTTGTTTATAATAATAATTATCCTGACTTTTATGGTGTTTTCCTAAGTTATTTTACATGTGTGTGTGTTTACTATGTATGATAATTGTACTTATGCAACCTGTACTATATATTGGATATCAGTGGAAATAAGTTACTTTGACCTTTTGGTTATCCTAGGTAATTTACACTATGTATGATAATTGTTCTTGTGTGTATTTGTACATAAACTTACTTAATTCTTCAACAGCCATAAGTATGGCAGTGGAAGGAGGTCAAGCACAGAGAAGGGCAACGTGGTGGTGGTGCAGCAAGCATGCAACAGTCTATGGCTCTGGATCCAAGAAAGTGGCTGTCTTGGAGAGTCTAGACATGCGGGTTGCCCAAGGAACTATGTGAGTGTGGTAATAAGTCACTCTGACTTTTATGGGTTATCCTATGTAATATACACATATGTTAACTGTGTATGATAATTGTACTTATGTATACCTGTGCTTAAATATAAATTACTTAGCTTGTGATGAATAGCAAGTAGCTACAAATGCAGTTTGTAAATGTTAAATTAATGCACATAGCGAGTGGAACTTTTGCATTACAAATACTCACACTTGTTTTGTGATATTTATGCAGTGACCTTATTTGTGGTAATTAATGCAGTGCCTTCTTTGTGGTAATTATGCAGTGCCTTATTTGTGGTAATTAATGCAGTGCACTTATTTGTGGTAATTCGCATAGTGCTATATTTGTTGGAGTCATAGCTTGTTGCCCTGTTAATTGTAATTTTAGTAAGCTGTTTTGTAGATAACATGTATATGTATGTAAGAAGTAATTTGTGACTTTAGACTGATCTCTAGTCTTTTTGACCCTTCTGTACTGTTTTTCTTGGGGTGCTTTGTGTTTTTGGATTTGAGGATGCTGGGTGTTAGCCAGGGACTGTTCATTCTCTTAGCTGCGATCTGTTTAGTTTTATCAGGGCAATGCTTGTTATAGAGGTAGAGGTTTTTTATAGGAAATTATTAATACATTCATGCCAGTCGAATTATTCATAGCTGTTATAAAGTTATTAACAGCTGTCTCGTTATTTAGTCTGAAGGTAACTTTAGTAGTGTCTTGGGGAAATTTAGTTAAGTTGGTTATAAGAAAGGTAGGGTAGTGGTCTGTGGTGTTGTCTGTGATTATTCCTGATTTTAAAGGGGATATGGTGTTAGTCCAGATGAGGTCCAATAAAGAGATACTAGTCTCGGATATTCTTGTAGGTTTTGATATTGTTGGTAGCAACAAGCATTAGCTCATAGTGTCTGTTAATTCAGTTACTTGTGGGTCCTGGTCATGTAGCAGATTTATGTTGAAATCTCCTGTTAGCAGCAGGTGGTCTTTGTTCATATGAGCATCTGTTATCAAGTTTCCTAATTTTTCACTGAAATGGTAAATGTTTGACTGTGGTACTCTGTAGATGTTTATAACTATGAGAGGTTTTTGTATGTCTCTTGTTTTAAATTTACCTATAATATATTCTCAATGTTCACCCCTTGTGCAAGAATTATTGATAAATTCAAGTTGATTTGAGTAGTATATAGCTGTTTCCCCCCTTGTTGATCTGTCCTACAGTTGTGTATGGCTGTGTAACCAGGAATGGCATAGACATCTGTAGTACCAGGTTTTAGACAGGTTACCTGAGTGTGATGAATGACATACTGGAATTAAAAGAATCGACTAATGCTGTGTGGTCATCGTAATGTTTGCTCAGAGATCTGACATAGTTATGTTATTGTTGGCTCTGAGTAATGTCTTAGCTTGGTCTGCAGTATATAATTACAGTTGCTGTTTGATTCCTGTTAATCATTTAATAAAAGTTTGGTATAAACCTTGGTAATAAATACCGACAATTTGGGTTTTTAGAAAGACACGTAAGCAAACACTATAACATATTTATTAGAAAACATTTCGGTCCTGGGACCTTGATCACTTCTAACATACAGAGGTAGAAAGACATGATATATATAGGCGGAGAGTGAGATGTGACGCACGTGACCTGAGGAATGTCATAAGAACATAAGAATGGAGGAACACTGTAGAAGACCTACTGGCTCATGCGAGGCAGGTCTTTATCAAAACAACCTCTACCTATGATGAGGACGGGTAGACGATGAAATCATGTGACTCCTGTGTTGTTGGGTTTGGGGCGCTTAAGTACAGATGCCAATGTTTTTGAAATTTGTAAGTTTCCATGTTGCGTTCTTATGTCGGTGACGGCGATTAGTGAGGCTCTAGGCACCTCGGCGCTGAGGTCTGGTTCGGTAAGAACGAGTTTTGCCTCATTAGTTCACAAATGCCCCGTGGATCTCTGTGGAGGACATAGGCGTACCTTACATGTCTCTGTTAGAGCATTTCGATGCTCATTCAGGCGGACTGAGATCTCTGCTGTCTCGCCTTATTTCTTGGGACAGACCACAGGGGATAGTGTAGACGCCTGCTGTAGAAGTAGAGGTGTGGGCTGCGTTCGTAGTGAGGTCTTTGATAGATGATGTGTTTATGGTGAAACGTTGATGTTACTCAAGCAGGCCCGGCGAGTATTCGTGGCAAATGCCTCATGGGAGTACTATGAATGTTTATGGGGCTGTTCCATGGGCGGTTTAGTTGGGATAGCTTGTGCTGAGTCTGCAATCCGGATGAAGAAAGATGGGACCTGAGACTAAAGGCACAAGTCATTCTTCTCGAAACAAGGCCTGCGCCGATGTGAAAGCCTCACTAAACGCTTCTAGACCTTCGCCATGACTCGAAAGTCAAATCACGATTGCAAGATACTTAAGACACCCCAAACTTTTCCCCTTCCTTCCAAAGTTTTTTTAAAAGGGCCCCCCCCTCTTCTACAGGGGTCCCAAACCCCTTGGGGTTTTGTCCCCAAAAAAAAATGGGGCCCCAAATTTCCGCCCCTAATAATCTCTTAACAAA